GCTGGGCGAATGAAACAGACACGGCCATGCTGAGAACGGAGAGGGAGCAAAGGCAGCCGTGCGGCGGTCACACATGCATGCCACCACCACTGAAAGAAGGGGCCAGAAAAAAAGGTGTGCGGCAACAAAAGCCAAGAGCATCACCCGCTCCCCCTCCCACCGCAGTGGAAGAGCTTCAAAGGAGAGGGGAAAAAAAAAAAGCCTGAGGACCAGACATCATTAATCTCCTGTCATCAGCAGAGGAGTGCTCTCTGCCCGCATCCTGCTGCAGCCGATGAGACAGCACAACCAGCAGTGCCTGTAGCACGAGTGAGAAGAGGTCATCGTGTCGCTGCCGAGCCCAGGGCATCACACTGATGCGATCCCTTTAATGGCCATCAGCCTCTTCTGCAGCTGCATCTGGGGACTTGGAAGCTGACAAAATCCTTCCTGGGAAGCATCTGGTACATCTCACTGTAAATATTTAACAATGAAGAGATACGAATTGAGAGCCAAGCGCCTGCCGCGAGACCCTCCAGCCCCACGCGTTCGCACTGTGTCTCTTCCATTGCCCGTGCCAGTGGAGGCGAGGGGTCATATAAGGCAAAGGTGCAAACTGCACAAAACATGCCTCTGGAAAACCTACCATCTCAAAGAAGAGAGCCAGAGACTGTGTTTCTAGAAAGGAGACTGTGAAGTAATTTAAATAACATCATTCTTGGTTCCTCCCTGCTGTGATTCCTGTACCCGACTTTGGCTACTTCTGCAGAGGGATTTCTGCAGGACCAGCACGTCCCCTGTGCAGTGGCCACTTGCAAAGTGACCGCTAGACCTCACCCTCGAAGCCTGCACCAGGTCAGCTGCAAACCTGGCTCCCCGACTGCGTATAACAAAAGGAGACTGAGCAGCAGCTCATCTTGTGAGGCCAAGGAAGACAAAGCCACCTCCAGGCAGAAATCAGCCCCATCTCTTGGGGTGGGGGAAAGCAATAGCGGTTTGGTGGTAGGACCGGGTGCAGTAAACATTCCCAGGAATTTAGGGAAGCCAGACCAAGGTCACCCACTAGGCAGGGTGCCTCCAGAAATGAGCTGAAGAAATCCTACAGTCCCATAACCACCTGGATTAAACTAAGCACGGGTATGGGGGCTTCCTCCCATAAGCGAATCCAGAGCATTAAAACTGTGACAACAACAAGGCAGCCAAATATCCTTGCAATCTTTGACAGCAGGCAGAAAGGCTCCTTTTTTGCTACGTAAGGATTACCGTACCTCAGCCAACCTGATTTCAGGGCATGCTCTCCAAGCACAAGAAACAACATCTCACTTATGCCCCCCACCTTAAGCCAGACGCAGTGAAATTCAAGATTTTTCTTGATATAATTTTGATATAACAAATGCTGCCAACTTCCTTCCTGGGTGCACAATCACGTGGATCCTGCTGCATAAACCACTCTTTCTAACCCAGGTAATTCCAGTGCTACAGGTGGCTGCCTCCCCTGTCTCAATACACAGCATAAAAGAGTAAACACCCTCATCAGAGTGAGCCTTCCCAAAGGAGTCGGGAATACCCAGCTACAAAAGGGTGCAACACAGCACTTTCTCTCCTAATTTAAAGATCTATATCCCCTCCTTTTCTTTATAAAGGATTAACAACAGCTTCCTTGCAGTGGGAGCATCACCCGCATCTCTTTAAGGAAAACTTCACAGCGTTTAATTCGAAGTGGTGTTTATAACTCAAGAAAGATATCTCAGCCACCACTGACAATTCTCCAAAATGATCAGCTCAGGGTGCAGCAGGAGATTATAAGTCAGGAGTAGCAAGACCAAGACAGAGCATCACTTGCAGCTGTGTTGAACACCAGCGCATCCACAACTGCACCCTGCAGTCAGCTCTGGTCTCCGCATTTCAACAAGGGCACAGCAGTGTTGCAGATGCACAGAGAAAAGCAATTAAATCGCCCAGAAGGCAGCCCCTTAAGAGGCAAGACTAAAAAGGCTGGGATCCTCCACCACTGGGGACGACTGGCTGGGGTGTACCACGCCAGGAGGGCACCTCCTTACCAACTGGAACCAGGAACAGCACACGAAGCTAGCAGAAGATCTGTTTAAAGCAAGCAAAAGTATTTCCTTAAATAGCAGGCAGCGAACTTCACCACCCCATGCGGCAACAAGTCCTGGGATGTGGACAGCATCAGCAGCCTCACAGAGGGTTTAGATGTTCACAGCCAACATGTCCACAGAGGTCCGGGTGGAGATGTGCCCTCACAGCCTTCCTCTAACAGCAGAAGTGGGCAGTATGAGAGTCCATCTCTCTGCTCTGCCGCCACACCGCCAAGCCCAGCACCGCATCTCTCAAGGGTGTTGAAATCTCTCCACTTTCCACCTGAACTCCAGATCACAAGGTTTGAAGTGGCTTCTTCTGAAAAGCACCCTACAGCTGCCAAATCCTAGTCGCTGGATGTGGGAGAGGAGAGGACCAAGGAACTGCTGTGTTAGAAGGAAAGTCAATCGCCTCTCTCCGAGAACAGCTTTATTTCCAAACGCTGTTAGGTAACCGGGACGCAAACACTGCTGCCTCTCCACCTCCATAGTGCTTGCACGTGACACCAGGCTGAGGGCAGAACGCCCCTAGCATCCATACGCTAACAAGCAGGAACATGCTTTGGAGCACACTACAGCTCCTGTACCTATAAAATGGCTGATTTTTGGCTCAGGCTCCCCATCCATTCAAGTCCCAACTGTTACCACAACTCAGCATCCTCTGTCACTATGCTAACTGCTTTCTCGGGTGGAAGAACGGACTTCTCACCAAGAGGGGAAACCAGCCATACAGACCCACCTGGCCTTACAAGATTAACCTTAAAAAATAGGCACTGACATAGATATGGAAGTTCTAGTGATTTGCAGTAGCAGACTTGAGCAAATTAACTTGTTAAACAACCTCAGCAATGAAAGGGAGGTGAGGAATTCAAACCCAACAGCCTCAGGAGTGCACAACTCTGATGCTAGAAGCAGGTATGCTCCAGGCAAGCCTGCTGCCCCCCACCAGCGGTGCTGCCCTGCCTTCGCCTGCTGCATTCACTGTGTTTTGAGATATCAGGGCTTCCAGATAAGCTTTGTGCACAGGAAAGAAAAGCATAGCACCAGCTTTAAGGCTCTTCTGGAGAAGGCATGAGAAAGGATTGTGCAGTGTCCTGTGCAGCTACCATTAAGAGGAATCCTGTTTAAGCTTTCACTTATCTCCTTAAAAAAATAAAATTGTAGAAAAACCCCAAGCTCTGTAGGTAATGTTTTCAGCCACACTATTGACATGTAACATGCACTTACTGAAACGCTATCATCTGCTGCAGACACACATTCATGCCCCACCCTGGAGGCAGCTGCGAAGGTCCCCAACCAGCTGGAGAGCAGAGGATTGAGTTGTGCCAACCAAAGGACATCTCTGAGTCTGCAGCACAGGCAGACAAAACCCAACACCCAAAGGCAGATCTTCAGCAGGGTGGAGAAAAGCCTCTTATGAACTCAACACATGGGAATATACCTTTGCTCCTTGAAAACCAGTCTTAATATTTCACTCTCACACATGTTCTGAAAGCAAGAAAATTATGAAAGACTTACAAATGGGTTGGGTTACTACTTGGGTTACTTCTCTAACACCTATAGAGGTATCTTTTGCAACGCTCTAGTGGATCTAGTTATATACCATGGCCTCATTAGCTGGCTAGAGCTCTTGAAACACATACATACACACGACTTCCAGCTGTCTGTTCAGTTCATGAAGTCAAATTACACTTTCTCCAATGTTACACCAGACCACTCAAAACCAGCGAGTTATTTTTACTGAAATCAGCTTTAAGACAATGGAGCCGATTTCCATACTTCCAAATCCTGATCACGCAATGCCTCCTCAATCAGCAGCTATTTATCACCACGCTATTGCATGAACTGGGGAAAAGTGATCCCATGCAAAGCCAAAGATGCAGGTAGGAGGTAGACATAGCGACGTGTCCAAGGTTGCACAAGGCCAGGCTAGGCACTGACCCCCCTTCCCAGTGCCTTTGCTACGGGACATCTCCACAAGGCACTACAGCTCTGAGACAACAGGATCTTAGTGACTGGTCTTGGTATCACTGGGTAAAACACAAACCTTTCCCTCAGTCTTGGCACTTCAACAACATCAACCTGGATGAAGAGCTCCCGGCAGTTTGGGAAAGGCAAGAATTGAGATCATCGATACCTGCTTTTAAAAACTACATCCCCTTTCTGATTTGGGACCCCCACCCAGAGTAGCCTCCCCTCCCTCCCGAGTCTCCCTAGGAGCCCAATCCTTTTCTGTAGGGTCTCTCCTGGCAAGGCTGCATGCACTACTGGGGCCAGGAAGTTTTCATTAGTCTTGCACTGATGGCAACACAGTGTGTATCTCTGTTGCTGTTAACAGCGATACTCAGCAGCAACACACAGAGTAAAAAGCCAAGGAGGAAGTCTGCATCTTTTCAAAGTATTGCACATTCAAACATACATCTTCAGGTTCATGGACACATCAAGCTATATACAGCTAACATACAGACTAACAGCAGCAATTCTGAGCTACATTTGCATCTTGAGACACCAATGTTTTCAGTTATGTGATGATCAAAACCTACAAGTACCCAAACTCTTTTACCCCAGACACACAATTTTGCCACCCTACAACGTATGGGAGGCAAGTAACCTTCCAGCAGTTGTAGTCATCACTACATGAAAGCATAAAACATGTTACTGCCATACAGGAATGGCCAAATATTAAGAGGAGCTTTTTTTGTTTGTTTTTTTTTGGGGGGAAGGTTTTTGTTCTGGGTTTTTGGGTGTTTTGGTTGTGTTTCTATTTGTTAGTTTTGTTTTTTTGGTGGTTTTTTTTTTTTAATTAATATCTGTTGCATATAGTCTTCTAAATCTAGTTAGGGCTGTCTCTGCAGAAAGAGAAGTGCAGGGAAGGCATGGGAGAGGGAGATTTGAAGAACTCCATTTTTAATTAATACATACCAGACTGGCCGTCAGTTGGAAATATATCTGTAAAAGAAAAAGCAAAAAAAAAAAATCAGTATTGGTTGCAGCTGGAGTGCGAATCATATTTAAAAGGTCCCTCCTCTCTTGATTTGTTTGCTTTAGCTAAACAGAGGAAGTATTTTCTTAGTATCCCAAGTTAAACATCAATCCAGCTTGGAACCCACCTCAATTCAACCACTTGTTGTGAGAAAGATTTTGAAGGAGACCGTGTTTACCTGAATGTATTGCTCTCATAACTAACCTTCTACATTGGCTTCTAACAGACAGCGGTGAGGAATAAAAAGCTAGTGAGATGTACAAGGCTCTAGACAATGAGCTCATCAGTGGCACCCCCATGCTCCCCCTGGCCAGCATTATCAAATGGAACCTGCACAGAGAACATCTAACATGGTAACTGGCCGGGGAGCGCAGGTGGCAGCCAAAGCAAAATGAGCATTTTCCTGATGGTTCTTGGTTTTCGCAGCCACAAGGGACATCAACAGCTGTGCCTGGCTCCAACACAGCACCTATACCAGAGAACGGGCAAGCAGAAGCACACACCCATCACCCGAATGGAGGCCCGGTGCCTTGGCACATCACGCATCACCCCGGGGGAACACCTTCCCCTTCCCACCTCAGGTGGCTCTGCCAGCAAGCACAGCCCACTGCGCAGAGTTGCTGGAGTCTGGAGGGTTTCAGACGCTGAAACAGATTACTCAACCTTCCCACCCCCAAGCTCTTTCAAGTTAGAGGTACAGGTCCTTCTCCTGATGGACCCTATTTATTGTTGGGAGGAAGATGTTCACTGAAGTAGCTGGGAAGGATCAGATTAAAGATTCATTCTTTTGAGGAGCACGCAGGACAGCATGCGTGGAGAAACCCTGTTGATAAAGGCTCCCCAAGAAGCTATGAAAACAGCAGTTTTTAGAGAGCAATACTCTGTTTTCTTCAAGAAACTTGGAAGAGGGGTAAAGGAGGCTGCCAACAAGCCCAGGTCCTCCTAGGACAGGGGCAGGCCCCTGGCTCCTGCTTATCAGCTGCCCAAAACACACATTCAGCTGTAAAGTCACAAGAGTCGCAGCAAGGACTACCCCTTGGACAGGGCAATGCTCTCTGGCCTGGGCTCAACCAATGCAGAAACAGCAAAAACACGCCTCTACCAAAGAGCTCCTATTTATCTACCTTTAACAGTGCACCGGGTTCAAGGCATCCTCAGGCAGGGATGCTTATGCTTTCATCCCACGTAAGAGCAGCAGAAGCAAGTGGTGGTGGGGAAACAATATCAAAACTCCCTCCACCGTTACTCAGGGTTATGGTCTGTGGCCATGCTGAAGGCATGATCTCAGGGAAAAGCCAACACATTCAGAAAAGCCTCCAAGCACCAGTCTGGATCCTTTGCAGACTGCATGTTCTACTGCAACCCTCCACCAGCACATCACCCAGGCACATCTAAACATCTTGTATTTCTGTGACGGTTGCTGACGAGGTCAGGCTCCTACAACAGTGAGTAGAAACACCCTGTGCTTGATCTAACAGGTCCCAAACAAGAGACAATTTCTGCATTTTCCTACTTGGGCAACTCCCAGACTGCTTCTCTGCAGAGGAACAAGGTAGAAGCACTGGTTAATGTGTATCCCACCTGTTTGGATCAGCTAGCTGTACCAGCTATTACCAAAAACCAAAATTAATGAGTAATACTGCTACTACAATGGCTGAGAAAAGGAATTCCTTTGTGCCAGTCAAGAACTACAGGCCTTGGCAACCATTCCCCTTGCTATACCCCTGCCAGGTGCAGTTCTTCAGTTTGCATTCCTGCTAGGCTGTCCAACCAGCTCTTCATCAAATTCATGCCGCAGCCTGGCCAGCCATCTGCACAACCAGCCATCCACAAGAGGTCCAGGCTACCGCCTTCTAGAAACCACAACAACTCAACAGCAGATTTGCCACCACCTTTGCTAGAAAAAGCAGTGGAAGTTCCTCAGTTGCTTAGGTCAGTAGAAAGCAAGGACCACGCATGATGACCAGGGGCAGCTATTGCTCACGTTCACCTCGAGAGGTTTGCCAGTGCAACTCCTGTTGAAGAAGGACACTTGCCTCCAGTCCTCAGCCCTCTTGTCTGGGAGAGACTGAGCTTGTCCAACTCCTCACACCTACAATTAATGCAGATTTGACTCCAAGCTCTCCAGAGCAGAGACACAGAGTGCTGGGCTTGCAGGCAGCTTTCCCCACTGCCGAGAACCAGCACAGAGCAATCAGTCTGCAGGACTTGCTCTTCTGAAAAATAGTGTTGCTGGGAGGACACATATGAGGCAGGGCTGGTCAGGGACCACCAGGCACAACGACCCTTTGGGATGCCTTCTTCCCTTGCAAGCACAAGATTAGAAATTAGCCTGCCAATTAAGGGCAGCACCTGAGGTGCCCAAGAGAAGTCTAAATCAGGCAGCACTTTCTTTTCCCAAGAAAGCCATGGTGGGGAAGGAGGCAGAAACACGTGTGGCTGGCAGGGCAAAGATAAACCCCTAGGGCTGCTCTCCAAGGAGCCCGTCTAGCACACTGCAGGACTGAGGCTGCCTGTCCTGGTCAGCTCCCTTCCCAGTGCTCCCAAGGTTAAAAATCAAACATGAAGGACCCAGGCAAAGAGACCAGGCTGGGATTTTGCTCAAGCAAAGTCCCAACACAGAAAGCCAAAGCCAGCAAACCAGCCCCACCGATTCCTCCCACCACACACACCACTTTCCCACCTGCTTCCCCCCAAGGCACCCCGATGCCAGGTATCCTGACGCAGGCCAGGTGCTGCAGAGGACGATGCTCTGCAGCAGCTCTCCACCACCCGACCGTCCCCCTGCCCAGCAGTGGGCACTCCCCACGTGGGAGCCAGGCAGCTCTGCCCCTGCCTGCACCACACTTCCCAGCCGAATCCAGCCTGGCCTGCTGGGCCGATACAAAATATCCCCCAGGCAGCCAAATGGGAAGGAGCAAGAAGTAACAATATCGCGATGCAAGCAAGGAAGACCCATGAAATTTGGGCCCTGTGGTCTCACATTTCCTTCCCCTTCCCACATGCAGACACACTTTGTTTCTCAGCATGGGCCCAAAACCAGAAAGACTTGGTGTCTAAAGAGAAGGATTATAACCACCACAGGGAACAGGTGACCTCTTCATTGTAGCACTGGTCTCTGCCAAGCCAGGTACTTCCCAAGCCCTTTACCATCCGCCTCAGTTCTGTACGTTATCCATACAGCCTATAACATCTCAGCAGAAAACACGGTTCACTAATCTCCCTGTTATCAGCAAAGGGGAGCGGAGGAAGGAGTGAACAGGAGGAGGTCAAGGGTGCGTGTTGCAGCGGGCGGGATGTCGGACGGGTGCAGAGCATCCTTTTCAGGACTGTCACACGAGGGTGCAGACACGGTACAGAGGTGCTTGCTCTGAACACCAACACCCAGAGCTGCTGCACAAAAAGCCCAGGAGACATAACTAAATTGAGGACAGTCATCCTTATTTTAGGTGGTGCTGCGGGGTGGATACAGAATCCCAATTTTTGTCTGATGGTATTTTTATATGCAGGAGGAGACCGTATGCTAAAATGGGGCATTTAAAGAGAAAAGCTGATGCATCCACACACACACACACCCTCCCCAGTGGCTATCTGGCCACCACTGCTATTCAGGTATCTGGGACAGGTCCAGAAAGGCTACCCCATTTATGAGCCCACATCTTCCCTCTGCTGCTCCCCCCGCTCACTGCAGAAGCACGCTGCCAACTGGGCTCCTCCACCAGCCACGCTTCAGTGCTGAACCCAAATGCCCTCACAGGAAGCCTGCCTTCTCCCTGCTCAGGAGCTACGGCTGGGAAGGGACCTCCACCACCCACTGCCTGTCCCCAGCCCCCCTGCCAGCAGCACCCCTTTTCCACCAGACACTGCTTCTTCCTGGCAGGCAGTGGCTAAAGACCAGCTCATTAGCCCTGACACAAGAGAAACGCTGACTCGTTATTACAGGAACCCGCAGCTGTAACTGCCAAGAGGGGCAGGACGGCCACAGACAGACTGCCAGCAAGAACCAGCTCCCTGCACCCCACTGGTCCCCCCACCTGCAACTACCCTTCTACTCTCCAAACTGGGGGAAAAAAAGACCTCAGTGCGCTTTCTGCTGACTGGTACCACCGCACCAGTGTGCTGAGCAAGGGCTGCTCCTCTGCACGCACAGGTGCAAGCATACATGGTAGTATGCTCCTTGGCTGCTCCCAGCAGGACACTGGGTTCATCCACACTGCCACTGCTGTGGGAAGACACCAGCTGATTTGTTCTGGCTTTCGACCCATGAAGTTGTAACTAAATCATCCTCCACATTTTGCAGACAAGAGACTCGGACAACAGCAAAAAAAAATGACCTCGCCAAGGTCGCGTGGGGACTCGGCAGCAGAGACATGACCAGAATTCGGTTCGACGGCTGAAAAGCTGCAGGGCTGTGCTAGCTGCCCAGAGAGGGACGGGGAAGGCAAATGCTGGCGGACAGCAGGATCACTGGGGATCTCTCCTCCTAACCTGACCTGCCGCCTGGCGGGGACGATTCAGTTCTGCTCCTCTGGCTATGACGGCAATCCTCCCAGTGCAAACAGCACAGGCAGGGAAAAGGTCCAAATTACATAGTCCAGCGTCTGCTGCAAAGAGACCAGTGCTGCTTGAACCCCTTCTCCGTCCCCAGGCAACATTTCAGCTCAAATCTCTATCACCTGGCTCCCCCTCAGAGGCCAAGGCAGTGCCTGCACAGGTTCCCAAGACAGTTACACACCTCTTCAAAGCAACACTCAGCGGAGAAGGGGGCGAGATCTGCTAGGAAAAAGTAGCAAAGCAAGAAACCCCAAACCCAAAGATTAGCATGGCCAATCAAGTCCCTCCTGAGATCTTGCTTGCTTCCTGCTCCCCTCCTTTGTTACCTGCCAAGCAGGCTTGGGGAGGGTCCAGCTCTCAGCCACCCAGATCTTCCCAACTCTCCCCAGCTGCCAGGTCCAGGCAAACACCTCCCATGCCTCTTAACAACACTTGGCTACTGTAATAAGAAGTATCTTTACCCCCTCAAAGAGAAGCTGAAGCTTGAGACAGATGAATCAACCCTAACCTGATGTTGGTTAGGTCTTAAGACACAACTAAGGTCTGTGCAAGAAAAAGATAAAAAGCTACAGAAGCATTTATCAGCTCCCAAATCCATTTCTCTGCAAGGGTATCCAGACCACCAGACCCCGGTAAGTGGTTTTCTGCTCTCCATCCAGAGAAGAGGCTTGGTTCCTTCCCAGACACCCCCATCACCTACACTGGCTGAAGAGCTGCACCCAGTGTGAGCTCTGACATTGATTTCCCACAAACCACATGGAAACAAATGCTTGAAATAAGATTTCAGTGTATAAATGACTGTGGTTTTGGCGAAGCTTAGCTGGGTGCCCCTGCTAACTTCATGTACTTGAAAAGGGATGAAGACTTCCAGCATCACCGAGTTGCAAGAGGAACACCCCTGGAAAAAAATCACCTACTCCAAAATCAGAGCATTATCTGTCTGAGACAGCTCCCTAGCTTTAACTTCACACTACACACTAAACTAAATTAGTACCTTAATGCTGACGTTCAGTCTCTTCCGGACAGAAGGGGAGCAGAGCTGACCGAGCACAGGGCTGTGACTCTGGCTGAACACAGGGTCACCAGTGGGACCGGCACTGTGCCCAGCAAGAGCACCTTTCAGAGATCCGTTTGGAGGAGGGTCCAGGTCTCTTCTCCAAGCACCAGAGATGCCAATGGGATTCTGGGGAATGCATCTGGTCAGCCTGACCAGAAAAAATGAGAGCTCTCCAAACAGACAGTCCTGCGAATCCAACACTCACATATGCGCAGGCACGCAAGGAATAACTGTAAGGTCACGGCTGTTTTTTCTCCCATCCACTTATCAGTGCTTGCACTGGAGAGAACAAACACTGGGTGTTCTCTCCCATTAACCCCTTCTCCCCCATCTCCAAAACGGAGAAGCAGCAAAGCGCTGCTGCTCCAAGCATGAGCCCTAACACTCCTATTCATGTACCCGACAAAAAGCTGCAGAGAAAGTACAAGGCACCTTAGAGGTGCTTGATTACTGTTCCCGTGAAGCAGCTGGTGACCCAGCTCTCTGCCTCACATCCTTTAATCACCAGTAAGCCTGAAGTGACACCGCTAGAAGTCTCCAGCCTTCCAAGAGACCAACCCTACGTGAGTCTGGGCCCAATGATCACAGTCACCCTCCCCAAATTGTTCTTTAAGCTACTGGATATTGAACAGGCAGTAAAGTTTCAGGCATGATCAAGCAAAATTAACGTGTCTCAGAGACTCTTGTTGAAATACAGAAACAATTTTGGTGCAGCCCAGAAGCCAATTGGATCCCATGCTGTGGAAACCGATATAGGATGGTGTTTCCCTTGGACAGGGTTATCGAACACTGCACTGCAACATGCTTTTCTGCATGCACATCAAGGGCAGGCAGTCTCAGACACCACAGCGAAGCTTTGCTTAAGGACAGCTCAATAAGCAGTGGGCAACACAGATCCTCTCCCTACAGAGGAGAATCCGTTACTGTAGCCAGAAATCCAGCCTCTCCATGAAGGAGGATCCCCCTACCTCCTCAAAAGCACCAGAATCATGGGTATGCCCTGTAACATCAGGCATGGATGCCATAAATCCCTGTGAAAACCCCAGGAACTGAAAATTGCAAGGCTCTCTCTACCTTAGGGCTACGGGCAGAAGGCTGAGCAGGGGGTCTGTAGGATACACAAGGCAGCACAGTGAAGACAACATAATTAAATCTATTAACAGAATTAGAAATCATCAGACTCACAGTCTGAGACGTTCCCCCCCTCCGGTCCAGGCTATCTGGTTGGTTTTAATCAAACACACAGCTTTTCCAATCACCCTCCAAACTCCATCCCTTCCTGCTTCCACTTCTCTGCTGTTAATTAGATCAACTCAGATTTCAGCTCTAACTGAAGTTAAGAGGGTTGTCTGCCTGTAATCTGCCACGTCTCTTCCGAATCATCTTCACAGTTGTACTTACAGGTTTAATTTTACATTTTAAAAACATGGGTCACTTACAGCAAATTCCTCCCTGCACAGCATGCAAATGTCACATGTCGTTCTCCGATTAAAAAAAAGGGGAGCTAGAAGAGTTCACCTGAGACTGGGAAGCCAAAAGAAATCACTCCCCTTTTTGTTTAGCTCAGTGCAAGACCCTCTGCAGTGGCAGAGGATTTCTGAGCACTCAGAAGATGCGTTAGATCATATTAGGTATTCCCCTGAGCTCTCAAGGTTTAGCTGGGAGTTGGGAAGTGAAATTTAGTATGATTACAGCCAGCAAAGTCTCATGCTTTGTCATCTGAGCACACAGTGGAGACACCTCTGTGATTCGCTTTTCTGTCTTGTTGGGTGAGATCTCATTCACAAACATCCTATCACTTCTGTTTCAGTCACAGTAAAACACCCCAACAACATTTTTGGGATGCATTTCTCCACATTTCAATACCTGCTGCTACAGTCACATAACTTCTCAGCATCATGCATACTGGTGTCACTCTTTACACTTAATTCTTTGTTCTGTTTTTCCCTTTACTTGCCCCCCTTGCTCAGCCTTGTAGCTGACTTGCCAATGTGAGCCCGTCTGGAGGTACACAGGTAGGGCAAAGTGCTTCAGTCACTCCTTTAAATCTCTCTTTTTGTGCTAGATGAGGCCAAAAGCATTGCTATTTGTTATTATGGTCAAGTCTTTATTTTCAGTAGGCTTGTTCCATGAGGTTGGGAGAGCTGACATAAACGGACATTGCTCCTGATCTGTGCTGACTTTGTGACTATTTGGAAGGGCTACAGTAAAGGTATAAAGTTATCGTAGTGAGAATCCTAAGCGTCTTGCAGGAATAAACTCAGTGCTTCTTCTGCAACATTTAATACGAAAAATGGAAGATCTGACCTTGGAGAATCTGAGGAAATTAATTTCCTGTAGTTCAAAGTGAACATTGGCTTATTAAACATTTGAGTATTGCTTACTAACCATAAGTTCTCACTATTTCATTCCATCACTAGCTTCACCATCTGTAAGTGCACAAACCAGATAGTTTGGTAACTAACATTTGGTAAATTAATAATTACTCATTTGCACCACTGACCAGAAGCTTTCAAAAGCACAGTTATAAAGAAAAAAAAAGCAGAGTGAATTTAGTGTGAAGGCTGAATATATATTATAAATAATCTGCTTAGAGACAGTGCTAAGTATTCAGCAACATACCCACCTTCTGACAGCACCTCTGAGTTACCAGGCAGGTAAGACACCAATCTCCCCACACACCTTTTCTCTTACTTTCCCATCAACAGAACTCTACCCTTTCCTCATTTTTTTGGCTTTTCCAATTTCATACTTGTTTCCCCACATATTTAGTCAGGAAAAACTCACCTCTTTTCTCAGTATTTCAGAGTTCTTAAAACCTAACTTATCTAACCCTGAAAACCCTCTGTTCCCTCCACACATGCATCCGGCAGGCGACTCAAAAAAGTCAAATGACCACGAGGAAAGGAGAAGAGATAAGCAGCCCCCTGCGCCCTCCCTCTTGCTGGCGGATCCCTTCCAGCGCGCAGCCATGCCCTGCAGACTGCAGAGTCACTCTGCAGGAGCGCAGCACATGCTGCCGTTCAGCTGGAAAAACGTGCTCAGCAGTGTGCTCGGGATGGACTCTGCTTCCTCCCACCACCCCCCGAGCCTCTGGGGCTGCACCCCCATACCTGGGCAGGGAACAGCACCGGGCTCCCACATGTGCGCCGCCCCCCCAGGCTTACACAGCCCCTCCCGCTGCACCAGTGCCCGGCGGGAAGGACACGCAGCACATTTCCGCCGCCCCCGCCCAGCTGCCCGGCTTTCCAATCACGGTTTAACTCCAGCTCGTGTGTCAAGGACACGTGAGGTTCAGAAGCCCCATCCGAGCCCCCGTTTCTCCCCAGTGCCCCCAGCTGCCCCTTTCCAATCACGGTTTAACTCCAGCTCGTGTGTCAAGGACACGTGAGGTTCAGAAGCCCCATCCGAGCCCCCGTTTCTCCCCAGTGCCCCCCTGGCTATCAGTCTCACCGTCCGTCACCAAGGGATCTCTGCAGACCCTGCCAGAGCCCAAACAAGTAACACTGCAGAGCACCAGAGATGCTTCTCCTCCACCACCTTCCTCGTGAGGCAGGGATGCCTCTCCTGGGCGCCGTCAGACACCAGGGCCACTTTGGGAACAAGTCAGGAATGAAGAGAAGCACCTGCAGGCATGTGGCCAGGTCATGGGCCAGCTCTGCCTGCTAAAGCAGCAGGTTGCAGACCTGTTTCCAGCCACTTCAAGGCGTGCCCGGCAGGAAGCAAACGTGCTTCCCCAGGAGCGCAGGTCGGGGCAAGCTGCACCCACCAGCACGTTGTGCATGCCATGCACACTCCGGGGGGAACCAGAGTGCAATTTTCTAGATCAAGCGAAGAAAGGGTGCCTGTGTCACCTGAGTGCCACCAGAACCAGACTGAGCGGCACTGACAGACCTCATTCACACCAACAGCCACCTCCATTGGCCATTTCTAAAGCAAACAGAGGCTTCCACCTGACCCATCATGCCAGAGCATCCAACCCAGCCAGGGCCACCATGGTCACCTCCCACACACCGTCAGCCCCAAGCTATCCGCAGCAGAGATCTCTACCAACCTTTCCGACTTGTAACCATGTAAAGGAACAGGATGACTCAAAACAAAAAAAAAAAAAAACAAAAATAAAGCACAGAGAGCATGTAGATAAAGAGACAAATGAAACTGTCCTAAAGGAAAACAGATATCAAGGGAAACAGAAGGTCACTCAGAGGCTTATTCTAGATTCAACAGATGTTTGCACAGTCTTCTGATTTACAACTGTAAGACAAAATACCTTTGCTACTGATCGTACTAGGCAATAATGTTATGATGCTCAGAAGAGAAATTACGCGTAAGAAAAAGCCTAAGAGGCAAAAAGAAACAACTGTATTCAAGTACCTACTTTTCCAGCAAGAATTTTACCAATATATGAAAAAATATCTATCAAAAAGCCTTGCTAACCAACCACCGCAGAGTACTGAAGCCAGCTGCCTGCTGCGTGTTCCCATAGAGCACTGCAACACATGGAAGTGTCGAGGCAAGCTGCTGCTCGAGTCAGCTTTGCTCCGGCAGGACACTGAAGGTAAACCACTGATAATGCAGGTATTAGGTCAGCCAGTTCACAGCCCTTCCTCCCTCTCCTTGCATGTCACAGCAGAATATCCCCCACCACACGTAGCCTTAATGCTGCAGGAAGGGCTCTTGATCCTAGCAAAATCCATGGCGAGTGTCACACTGAAGCTGGACCGGACGACTTGCTAAGGATGGCTCCGGCAGCTCAACTAGCACCAGCAGCCCAGTGCAATACTGAAACCAGTGGAGCTACAACACACCACGTGCCAATTTGCTCAGAAAAGGCAATCCACCCAGGCCTGCCCACAAGAAGCCCCCCAAACTGTAGCACAAACACATACTCTGATAGAGGAAAGTTCAGTTAGGAGGATCTTCTGGGAACCTGCAATTACAGGATGAGCTTCTGCTTAGAAACATGTTGACACTTGACCTGACCACCATTGCCACAACCCTTCCCAAAAAAAAAGTGTATCTTGCACAATATTAGAATTGCCATCAGCAAACCTATTTTCACCAAATGCCTCATGCTAGTTTTTACTCCACGGCTGCGGGACCTTGACGTGCACACCCACTTCTCCTTTCAGCCAAGCAATCCAGACCAACCCTGACCCGGGACTCTCCCCACAAAGAAGTCTGGTAATTGATTTATTCAAGGCCAAATTCAGTTCCCATTTGTTCTGGTCACCAGTTATTGTTGCCTAAATACACAAGTAGCTGCTTTAAGTTCTCACAGCACTGCATTAACTTCTTTGAAGCCTTTCTTTTACCTCTCCTCTGACCTGCTCAAGCCATGCAGCTGTACCATCTGCTACTTGATGTTCAGATTAGCCCGTTATTTCAATGCAAAGAGAAAAGTCTCCCAACTCTACTCAGAGATCACTAACAAGAACCTGCAGAATGAGTTTGGAACTGAAGCCCGGTCTTAAGTGAAGAAAGGGACAAATGCAGAGCTGGCCATGCCAGAGACCACACGTCCACACAGAGTACCCAGAGATTTACCCAACCGCAGGAGACGACTTCTTGCCCATACAAATCTCCACCTAGATGGCATTACCACCATGAAAGAGCCCAGCGGGTATAGCCAAGGTTGCACCACCTCTTTCCCTGAGCTCCCTGTGTGCACAGCAAGCCAAGGAGGGATTTGACAGAGCCAGCAGCACGGAGACTTAAGCCCTTGGTATGAAGTCAGCAAAGGTTCCAATGCCAAAACGACCAGAGGATAAATTAACATTTTAAAGACCATAATGTAAATGCATATCGTGGTTGGGAATGAACAAAGCTCACCACTCCCAACTGGACTTACAGTAAGAGCAGAGCAAAAAGCCTTCCCAGCTCTCCTATCGGTTATCTGCCAGATCTACAGCAATGCCACTGTAACTCCATTTACCTGGTTACCCAGGTGGGAGCAGAGCTCATCTGAGAGGTGTACCACCATAAAGGACACCACAGTCCTCTGGCAGTATTCAAGTGTATTTAAGTTTTCATCAGGATGATTTTTTTTTTTTTTTTTAATACCCTTGCTGTTTGCAGCCATGGTAACTGTAAGGATTAAAACATCCAACCTGGTCAAGACAGCACAGCTTTCTACTAAAATGCCCATTCCTTATTTAGCCAAACAAGCACTACCACTGAAGTGGTGCCTGAGATTCATTACAAAGTAGTTTCAAATATGCAAAGAGCAACCTAACTCTATCCAAGTCAGCATTTGGCGTTCCCCTGAGGATAATTTCACACTATTCGAGCACAGCAAAAGGATCAGGTGTCATAATTTGGAAGGGAGAGCAGAGCACTGCAGCCCCAGTGCCCCCACTCCCAGCCCTGCTTTTTGCACTTGATTTGTCTTCACATGCGACCCAAGTCCATCCTTCCGCTGCCCAATGCGGTGATCCCAGATGCAATCCCGATGCAAACCCCCATGGCACCACAGGCAATAAACAGCTTAAAAGAAGAGTTGTGAGGGTAAGGACGTGGTGGGTGAGAATCCTCCAGCGACGCCTCGGACCTGGCAATCTGGAACCGGAGGTCACAGCAGAAGCAAGCGCCAAAGCCCAGCAACCAGGGCCAGTGAGTCAGCTCTCAGGAGCTGCACCGCATTCCCCAGCCTTCCCGAAACAAACAGTGCAGAACAGGGCAAAGGTCCAGCACAAAGCTGAAGGGCAAAGGTATGCAGGGGAGGGAAAACACTAACCTTCACATTTTTTTGGAGCAGCGAGTTCCAGTTACCTTCGTCCTCCCCAACAAGATGGGAAGAGTTACTCAAACGTGAGTTGTGGGATCAGAACAAAACAGTATTTCAGAGAGGAAACTTGGGGCGGTGAGGGGGAGGACTCCTGCTGCGATAGCAGCTCTGTTGCAACAGTCAGCCAGGAGAGCTCCACAATTACATGCCACGACAGAGCAAGAATTGCCCAACGCTTTGGAAATAGGTGTGTGCAGCGCTACAGAGCTGGATACCCAAGCAGGCAGATGTGCGCATCTACTCTGAACGCAAAGAAATACCAAAGGTAAAATAAGTTTCCCATACATCTTATCTCCTGTACTGGAGACTGGTCTCAAGGAAAGCCCTATGGGAGTTAGTCAGCGAGGGGTGAGAAGCTAATGAATCTTCCCCTGCCTTCTCCTCGGTACCGGTAGCCAACCCAACCTCTGCTCTGACATAAAGCAACACACGCTCTCTCTGAACAATAGTCAGCTAACCTCTGGTGCTTGCTGCTGGCAACTAAGGTGTGCCTTCTGGAAAGTACTGCTTATCCGCCCAGCACATTTGCCAAACAGCAAGCAAGAAACTCTACTCAAGAAATTAAAACACCTCCTGCATCGCCACTAGGAAATATGCCGCTTTTTCCTGGCTGAGCGTTTGCAATCAGAATGAAAACCAGCATAAAAGTTAGTGTGGGCAAAGCTCGGCAATTGCAGTGCCAGTCATTAAAACCTGTGTGTTCTCACTTCCATGATGTAAATGGCTTTTTAAAAAAAAAAAAAAAAAAATCAGGAAGTGCCAAGTGTCTTGATGCAACATTTCTTGAAATAAATCCAGCAGGTTTTCAAAACAGGGTGCTGTTAACACCTGTCTGCACCAATGCTTGCATCAGCACCAGCCCTGGTGCAGGGCACAGCAGAGGAGCACAACACGTTCTGGAAGGTCGACCTGTCTTAACTGCAAGCCACACTTCTCCTCTATAGAAGAATTTGAGAAAATACCTTGAATTTGGTTTATAGCCAAAAGTGCAAACCTGTTTTTGCCAGAAAATGTTTCCTTCACTACTGCAGACACACACACACTACCATCATGCCTTTGCCAGTCAGGCTGCTGGCTGCATTTATTTACATGATAAGAAGAGAACATATAATAACGAGGGGACAGTCACAGAGACCTCGCTACTAGATCATTAGAGAGTAAAAATGAGGCATCACTACCAGCTCTGCCAGCGTCCCTCACAAGCAGTAAGCAGTGTCAAATACAAGCCTTGCCACATAGAATAGGACCGTGCATTATCTCAGGACTCAAAAGGATCCCCGTCTGCTCTCTTGTACCCTGACTCTGAAACGCACATGAATAGAAGTGTAGCACGCATCCTGCCAAGGCACCAGGGAAA